AGAAAAACAAAGTATCACGATAAAGTCGTTGCAAATGAACCAGCGCATCCATGACATTTTATGCAACGCGATGCCACGCCGGCATTTAATTATTACCGTCATTAATCATCGGCGCTGTTATCGAAATCTAGCATTACGATCTACGAGTAATAGAGGTTTTTAAATAATACATGAAGACAATGTTAACGTAGCGGTTATAGCATTAATTCGCCACATCAGGTACGGATAAACTCGTTATATAACTCGTCAAGAAGCAGAACTTTTCACGAGAGACGAGGCTTGCTACGTAATGAACGTAATCGCGTATCGTAATAGGCAACGGTTTATTTGCAGACGCGCGCGAGCGGATTCCGCCTACAAATCCGCTCGAAAATGATATCCGCGGGAAAACGTGCGAAGAGGTTTTATCGCTCGTCCACGTTTCGTGGTCCATTTCTTCACGCCTATCTCCGTCGCCATTTATTTATTATCATGGTCGCCGCGCTGCGAACCGAGATTGCGTAGCATTGCGCGACTCTTCGTAAGCACCAAAGAAACACTTGTTTAAGCAGGATAAATATAGCTTTTCGATACTTCTTTATGCATAAGATACAGTAAGATATAAGGTCGAGAATAAGAAACATGATACAAAAGAATTCAACCCACATCAAAAGGCGTGCACCCTGGGTGTTAGGTATTCCTTTGTATGTATCCTAGTATTTTATTTAGATCTATGACGTCGAAATACATATATTTACACTCCATTTGATGCAAATGGCGCGTTCAGTCGAAAAAGCAGCTATTGTAAAATTCTTTAATATGATTGGTCTTGCCCTTTGTGTTCCTTACTGGATATTAATGTATAAATCAATCATATTAAAGAATCTTACAACAGTTGCGAAGCCACTGTTTCTAAACGCAATCATTGGGATTATTCTGTTTACTTTTGTACGATCATTTTTACAATAACTGCAAATAAATTAGTACTTGAAGAAAAAATATCATATCACGCTCTTAAATTTAACAATTAATTTGGTAATAACTTTAGTTTAAAAAATTATAAAAATTTTCTTCAGCTTCTTTATCTTATTTGATTTTCAGCTGCTATATTTTATTTGGGGAGAGCCTGTTTTGAAAGAACAAAAGCGGCAAAAGATATGCTAGCTTTTCTGTTCCATTAAAAAAGAAATTTCAATCATTTTAGATAAGAGTTGATATTCTTTGTTCTTAGAGTTCTCGCTCGATCACGCTTAGGCAAGGAGCGAGAGTGGAAATAGATTCGACGTTCTCCGAGCGTCCGAGCCGTTGAGAACGTGCGACTCATTGCACTCTCACCGTCTCGCGATACGAATTCAATCGCAACGTTCAACAACCAAATAAATACGAAATGGATATCCGTACAATAGAATTGAATTCGTAAACAGAGGAAGGAATTCGAAAGAGTTTTCGAAATTTTTCTAAAACAGTATACAAATTTTTATTGCGTACAAGTGCTAAATATAAGATAAAATATGAAACAGATGAGATCTCTCCTTCGCACAAGCTTTTCAGGCGGAACATTGTCATAAACGGGCGATTCTTTCTAGATATCACAGCACTTTGTTGTTTGCAGATTTAATATAAAAGTAAGATATTACAACAAACCTGTTTATTATTCAGCTTCATTAGGGATGATAAGAAGAATCATTAATCAAAGATTTATACGCTAACTTTTAATAAGTCTAATGTAAATAACACGATTCTCAATTACATTAATAGTAATTAGTATTACTATTATACATAATTCTGCAATTCTCTCTCTACAAGCATTTTTTTCAACTAAAACTTTGCTCATAATGCATACATATATTCAAAGATCTATATCTTTACTTTTAGCAGAGTCAATTTTAAAGCTTTTTGCTTAATCGCATGCAGGATTAACGTGATAAAGATAAGAAAACTGATAAATATCGTGACATAATGGTCAGTGTATTCCCATATGTGAATTAGATCATTGTAAGTTAAATATAAGCGGAAAAAAGACCGGTTATCGACCTTTGATCTACGAAATAGATGATCGAGACAGATATCAAGTGTCTGACATCGTCGTTGAGGAAATTTAGCTCGACGTCACGCCGATAAACGAGACACTGACAAATGGAGTTTCGCTGCACATGTATAATAAAAAGATTGGCCGTGCCGATCAGTGTGTCATAAAAATAGCATCGATAAGAACAACATTATTGTTTTACGTGTATTTGACGTCAAACTTGACCATCACACTACGATAAACGAATGAATTGTATAAGTGTATCAAATATATAATACAGGAATATCAAATATATAATAGAGAAATATCAAATATATACAATACAAGAATTATATCGCAGTACAAAACAAGAAATAAACTTATTGATTCTACACGGAAAGAACAGTTTTGCTCAAGTATTAAAAAATTTAGCTATATACAGATCTGAAAATAATTTTGTTGGACCATCAAAATAATTATAGAATTATAGAATGTTTATATAGACATTGATGGCAATGTTACAAAAAGTTTTAACATTTTAGCCACCAGTTTAAGCGTCCTACATAATTATATTGACGGTTCAAACAAAATAATTTTCAGATTTGTATCCTGCGAAGAATTACTAAAGCCTCGATGGTCTAAAGGATGCTCGCACGGAATGTTAGAGATCTGGGTTCGACTTCCGGTCGAGGTAATATTTTACCCAATGAATTGTTTACGAATTTTAATATGTTTATCAGCATTATTAGGATCTTTTTTTTTAAGATGCTTATGAGCATCAAATTATTAGATTGCTAGGTAATTTAATTTGTGATAGTACTACGGTTCTGTCGGTATAGCGTTTCAAGACCGAAGAATTAAATCGTGGAATTTGATACCTTAATATATAAATTCGCATTGAATTATTTAAGCACCGAAGAACCAGCTTAGACTGTTATGGGCTCTATTTCCTATTGGTTGTGTATTTAGAAAAACTGTTCTTTCCGTGTACAAACGTGTGTTAGCCATTTTCAGCTACGTTCTTCGCCAAGCGGAAGTTTATACGTATATAATTAAGATTCCACAGGAAACTTGTTTCTCAAAGTCACCTAGTCTCACGAAAAAGTCTCACAATCCAATCGGACATTCGCGTTACGATCGCATTCCTCCCGAGTCGCGTGATTTTTGAGTCGAGCGATCATTATAGGTCGGCGTCGCTATCCGCTGATGTGGGACATCTCGATAAGAATACACGGAGGGCCTTGACAGAGACGCAACCGGCCCTCCCACGAGAGTGGCCAAGAGAGAAACACGCGCTTCGTACGACGCGTTGATCAGCGTCTTTCTACACGGTCGACCGCCGCTCGGCCCAATCGAAACGAATTTGCCAGACGCTCGAGCGATCTCGCGCGGATTTCAACAGCGAGGGGAACGCGCCGCACCGCAATAGTGCGCGCGCGCTTCGTGACGCAACACGTGACGCTTGCGAAATAACTGTAAAATAGATGCAGAAAGGGACAGTAAGACTTTAACGACGCGCCGCGCAGGTGAGAGCGCGCATCGCTTGATCCGCCGAGGAATTCCTGTGCATCTCAAAGTGTACCACTTAAGAGCGCGGGACTCCGCGACGTGGTTTTAACATGTTTCGTGGCAAATCTACCTCCAGAGGAAATTTTACAGAATTAATTAGTTATACAAACGCGCTTAAGCGTACCGAGCATTAAAAGATTTCATAAAATTAAATTTTATTGTTTTTCTATTTTATTTTGAGAGAAGAAAATATTTAATACCAAGAGCTTTAAAAATAATACATAAAATAATTATAGAAGAAGAGGCAACGTGAAGGAATTTATGTAGCCTACATTTTATAGATTCAAAAAGCCGAGAGAAAAATATATAAAGCTTCAGTCTCACGTCGTACGACGAAAGAAAAATAATGCGGACAGAGCGGGAAGAGGAAGAGAAAAAATCATGCGACCGAGGAGAAAATGCAGTATCCGATGCAACGCTCACGCACGATTTGCCAATCATAATGAGATCGGTTATTGCTCACCATTCGCGCGAGCATTTCCACGTGCATACCACGTCCTGGTACGTGCCGGCAAACCTTGAAAACCAGCCACATTCCTTCTGCAGGGCTAAACTCGAAGAGCGTACTCGGCATTAAAGCGCGGTGATGTCGAGAACGAAGCGGACTGATTGGTGAAACGTTGGCGTTTCGCGCGACGCCGCCACCGCCGCGTATCTCGTATTCGTTTTATCGATCATCGCTCGCAACGCTCCACTTCTCTGCGAATCTTACAGCGAAGCTACGAATCATTCTATACAAAAGGCTACCAAAGGTTATGAAATGAACGCGACTTCTAACATTCAAGTTCTGCGTCGTATATATTTTTACTGACTTCCTATTCGTTTGCAATTGAGTCTCATTTAAATCTATCGGATATTAAATGTATACGGAAATCGTAAGCTGCGTCTTTAGCGTAGCGTCGTACTTTATGTTGAAGTTATACTAAGTCGTAAAAGCCGACTTGTCGAATTTCAAGTAGCTGATTTTGTGCATTATATATATTATGCAATATCACCTTGGAATATGTAATTTTACGGAATTAATACATTATATATTATGTATTACCTTTTAACGCATGTCGACATTTCAGTACAGCAAATGCCGTAATAATACGTTACGATCAGTAATAACACGCTGTTTATATTAATAAATTTAATATTATCTATACACATCCGGGCGTAATTGCGTATTCTTTATTAAAGTCAATATATTATTGAAAAATTAATAAGAACCTGTGTATTAGTAATAGTGCTTTTAAAATTTACAATTTTGATGCCTTGGTAACTTAAACCGCAAAAATTGTGCTGTACTTTTGTATATTTAAAATTGTTCGAAGCAATATAACTTTGACGTTCGACTACGGTTCTTATAGTAGAACATATGTTTAAGTTACCAAGGCAAGTGAAGTGTCAATTTCAGCTTCGTAAGAAAGTTTTCTTACTTCTGTCTTCCATGTAATTTTAGAGCTGGCTTCCACCGACCGTGCAACGCTGCACGCTCCAATTCTGCATTACGAAAAGAAGAGAAAGAGAGAAAAAAAAGAAGAAATGCATAAATGTGCGGAGGAGACATGTTTTACACGCGTGAGATACGTGATTGTTGTCGATGGCGAAATCGTGACGGTAAAGAAAAATAAGCATCAAGGCCGGGTAGAGAGTCGATCGAGAAAGAAGATATAAGGTAGGAAAGCGCGAAGCGACAGGAGAGGAGCGGGGAAAAAGAGAGAAGGGATATGGGCGGAACAGAAAAAAAGAGAAGAAAAGATATTTGCGGTAACGCAATTCAACCTGACCACTTTCGGGGCCGTTATTCGCCACGCTCGACATTCGCCGGCCTCTAATTGGCCGCACAACGAAGTAAGGGCGTCCGAGGTAAAGTCTTTCGGTTCGGCCGCCGTATTTAGACGGACATTAATTGTGCACTTTTACCTTAGACGGCCGTCACCTGTTTTGAACGCCCGTGCACACGCACAACTTACGTCTTACTTTAGCGGTTATATACCGGACCGTTGCATTGTAGATTTTCCGATTTGGAAATGGAGAGATTAACATAATCACGATTTCAAATTTTAAATGATAGCGTAAGTTTCTATCACACTATAATGATGTTTACGGTCGTATATATAATATTATGCAAATAACGTTTTTTCAAATTAAATAATTAAAATAAAGCCCAACGAATCATATAATTGTTTTTATATCTTTTTATTGTGGCATATAATGTACGAAAAATGAGAAATTAAAATACTCTTCAACAAACGACCTTCGTTAACTTGATTTACCAGTTTTAAACACCTTTCATTCAGTTATTATTTAACCTCGACATTTTGGATTCATTCCAAGAATCTATTGTAACAAAATTATACGATGACACGAAGTCACTTTATACACACAGCGCGTACAAATATAACGAGGTGAAATGCCGAAAGACAATAGTTCGAAAAGTCCTAGCTTTCTATCGCTTCTGAAGATTGATTTCGCGAGACGTTCACTACAGTCAAAGTGAAAATGTCTGCCGGAACTGATCGCGAAAGCTTATGTATTTGCTCTCGATTGGCATGACTACAATTGCTACAGCTAATTTTCCATCAAGCTTCATTAATGTGAACGATCTGTGAAAGATACTAATAGTATTTCGCTGATATACATCATAATTATACACACATCGAACAGAATTACAATATATTAAATATAATGAAATAGAGAATTCTTTATTTAAAATAGAAAATCATATTAAAATCTAAATTTAACTACGAAAAAAATTGCCTTTCAGCACGACGTGAAATTAACTTCTTAGCAATTAAAAAAGTAGATCTTTTAACTTAACAAGAGCAAATTAAATTAAATAAATCAATAGATGAGTTGAAGTCAATTTGCGCCAGGAAAGATTCAAATCGAACTTAACGGGAAAGATTTGAAAGAAATAAAATCTTTTGAAGGATATGATGTTGAATAACGCGACACGTTGATCCTAAGGATTGCGTGTTACAGGATTAATTACTCCCATAGCATGTTAATTATGGTGAGACGCAATTTGCGTGCATGAATGCTTGTATGTCTTGAGTAGAGTGGGATTGCATGCGACGTAGAGATGAGAAACTTTAGCCGTAAATGTCAAGTAAAATAAAGATTATGTGGAAGTAATCTAATATTTACACCAAGTATTACCGCGTAATAATACAACGGCTAAATGAGCTCTGTTATAAAATTAGACGGTTGGCTAAACATCGTTCGTTATAAACTCCCGATAAAAATCTCATACGATCGCACGCGCGGATATTCATCAGCAAAAAATATGCTCGATGTCAACAGCAATATCCATCCATGATTATTTTACAACTACTTAATATCACGTTAATATTGCGTAATAAACAATTTTAACTTTAATGCTTCAGTTAATGGCATTCAAAATAATTTATAGATATATAATCTTTTCCGATGAGACATCAAAATAAATAAATACACATACATACACACTTATGGATATTTTTATAGACGGAAACCTAATTGGGCCAATTTATTTAATTATATATAGTCTAATCAAACACCATAAAAGTTCAAACTAATTAAAGTCAAGGAATAATAACACCTCGCTTTTTAATTATTTTATTAATCAGCATATGTTTTATTAACTCAAGGTTTTGGCATCATTTGTGAAAGTATTTCGTTCGAACCGGTTATGACGCCTTGTTTTATTCAAGTAATGCATGGAGGCAATCAGCCCCATTGGTGCACTAAGAAAAAAGGAATCAGAAAATAAAATTTTGAGAGTAATAAAAAATAACAAGGAACGACAGGCAGAACAACGGACATAAAACGGACATAAAACAAGGAGGCGCGGTTGATTAAATAATAAACGACTAGGTCTCCAGGAAACGAAAAAAGTCAACGGAAATAAATAAGAATATCACACTTACGCGAATGAATGAACAACTTGAGTGAACAATAGAAGAAAATAAATACTGACGAAATGTATGTGCATAATGATACTCGTAGCCACACTTGACCTAATGGACAGCGAACGCGTGAGATTCGACCATGAAAAATAAAAGATAGATCATCGGTGTGACGCATTAAACATGTAACATCGCGGGAATGAAAGAAAAACGATGCGCATGCGATCGTAAACAAGAAGTATTGCAAGGTGTACGCCTCGTTCCATTAATAACATTCGATCGTGGACGAGATAAAAAAATTTCATAATACACGCGACATTGTACTGGTGAGCAATGCATCAAAACGGACGTCGATAATAAGTGTCATGATAAATATGTGCATGGTGCCCCGGGACGATCGCCAGAGATCGATCTTTCATCAACTTGGGGAACCGACAATTTTCCCATAACAAAAATTTAATTGACATTTTTACAATTTCCAAATGTATCTTAAAGAGCTTGGTAATTAAGCTTTAGGTTAAAAACTTGTGAGTACGGGCTTCGCAGGTAATAAATCAACATTAAGTTGTTCAACAGTCCTTTGCAGTCCTGAAGGGGCAAAAAGAGGCCGTCGGAAAAATGCATCGGTCAACGTAATTTGAGCGCGGTGCATTCGCACCGATAAAATACTTCGTTCGTACAAAAAAATGAGAAGACGCGAACCAGTTTATACGGAATCGTGCGAAATCAAGGGAAAAGAAACATGAAAGCGCACGTTCGGAGCACGAGAATGGTGAAAGAAGAATGTGTAAAATTAGGCAACGCGTTTGATTCGCAAGTACACGCAGCATATTGTATTGCATCCGATATCGATAAGATAATTATTTGTTAATATTTATAATATGTTATTTTATAATACCATTTTCGTATCAATATTCTGTTGTACATACATTTGTACATATATTAAATTTTTGCAATGCATATCTTTGTTTCTTTTTACTCTGATCCTACATGGTAAAAGATGTTTTGTATTTATGTTAATAAAATCGATCCTTGCTTACATTTTTGCATTTCACTTTTAACACGAATATTACAATAATTTAACCTAATATTATTGTGCTGTTTGAATATTTTGTATGTAAATTGACATTTGACATTTCTTAGTGTTAAATAACACAATTTATAAGTAAATAAACAAATAATATAAAAGTTAATTTTACTGAAGAAATATATGATCACAAAATTTGTTTTCAAAATGTTACGCTATTTGTATTAATTTTTACATAATGTTTGTATTGCAACATATATTCATTTTATGTTAAATCGACACAAAAAATTAGATGAACAGTTCAAGACATGTGAAGTGTATTTTTAACAAATTTTCCTAACTGATGTATACTAAATATAAAAATGCGTAATTAAATCTATAGATGTTTATTGCGCGTTTATTCGCCATGTAATTTGACAATGTCATCGAATAACGGAATAATTTTCATAACGCCGAAGGGCGCACTTGACTCGTTGCCGCCCACATTATAGCGATTACGAACGATAAGGAGGAAGAAGAAAGACAGAACCAGAGAAGATGATCAGGAAAAAAGAAAGAGAACAGTGGGCGGGAGGATATTACGCTTTCACGATGGAACGCATGTAAGTGCACATTTTAATGTCAAGGAAGACATGCGCACGCGCGCCCGTTTTGCAACAATGCGAACGTGGGCTTACCACGGTAAATACACAGTAGCGAATACGTCTTACATCGCACGGCGGAACGACCTAGAAAGAATTAACCCTTTATGACCACGTCGTCCTCTATCCTTATCCCACTTTCATCGAGCTCTACAGCGATTTCGTTTCTTGCGCCTAATACGATGTTCGATATATATTCTTTTTAATAGTAAATGCAATAGAAGAATGCGTCAGTTTCGATTCAGCTAATGAATATTAAAACGCAGCTTTTACTTCTGGTAAATCGAGTTCCCAGTTTCGAAGATGTTATGTTTTGACTTTCCGGGTAGTTCGCAACATTTCAACAGAAATTTAATGTGCACCTTGAACACCGGAATAATCTTGGGCATTTATAACTACGATGCTCGATTTTGTAGCGGCGCTATGGGTGTGGTTAATCTCACTACAAATGCTTCGAAGCATTTGACTAACTAATCACAAGAAAGAATTTTATGAATTGATCCAATCAAAGAATGCTTCAAAGCATTTATCACCAGGCTGATCGTTTCTTATGCATAGCTATCTAAATTTGCAAAATTCAAATACATCTGATGTTACGTATAAATTTTCATCAGGCTATGAATTTACTATTCGCCTCACTCAACCGCTCAATCATATGAAATTCCAAAATTTGACCTTCGACAAGTCAGAAGTCGTCGTGTATAAGTTGCTTGGAAGCGGATTATCAGAATAAAATGTAAACACAATTCAAGAAGACTATACACGGGAGAACGATCAAAGACAACAGAGTTGAGATTAATATAATACTTGCGACCAGAATATCCAGGAATTCCTCTTGTCCAATTAATAATCTACGCAATACAATAACAATTTTATTAAAGGCAGTACACTGAAAGAGCAATTTTGCATTGAAGGATCTAAAAATTTAGCTAGATACAGATCTGAAAAATAATTTTGCTGGACTTTCAAAACAATTAGGTACATGGAGAGAATTTTTTCTTAGAATTTACCCTGAAAATATGACAGTCGTGGGACAACATTGTATTTCGAAGGATTTTAATGTAAATCTCTCTCATTCATTAATAAAACTACAATAAAGTATAAAATAAGTTTGACCAATTTTACTGAAGTGCATGGTAATCTTTAAAATATTATATTGTACCACAATTACCATATTTTCAGGGTAAATTTTAAAAGAAAATTCTCTCCGTATATAGGAGAGGAAACAAAATTAGTTGCTAGAATATCAAAATATTTTGCAGCGTTGCTTAAGATTCCTGTAAAATTATTTTGATGGTCCAACAAAATTATTTTCAAATCTGTATCTAGTCAAATTTTTCAGCAAAATTGCTTTTCCAGTGTACATCTTAATATATCAGTCGGCGC